GGGATTGCTCCATAATTGGTACTTATGCACAAACTGAGTTGGGTCATGGCACCTTTTTGCGTGGCTTAGAGACACGTGCTGACTATGATGCTTCTACGCAAGAGTTTGTTTTGAATACTCCTACACTAACTGCCTACAAATGGTGGCCTGGTGGTTGTAAGTTTTATTAAATATTATAAATTTTACCTTAAACCTGTTTAATAGTATTTTACTTGCCTTAACTACAGTGGGTCACACAGCAAATTATGCAATTGTTGTTGCACAACTTTATACCAAAGGTGAATTTCGTGGTTTGGCTCCGTTCATAGTGCAATTACGCGACGAGGAGACGCATGAACCATTACCTGGTATTGATGTTGGCGAAATTGGTACCAAATTGGGTATGAAATCAGTTAATAATGGTTACTTGGGTCTGAAAAACTTGCGTATTCCACTTAAAAATATGCTTATGAAAAATCAACAGGTACCATATTTGTGTAGGATTATGAAATCAACACTAGATTTAAAACATAAAAACTTCTGATCTGCAGGTACTTCCTGATGGCACATATGTAGCACCTAAGAATACTGTTTTAACCTATGGCACTATGATGTTCGTGCGTTGTGCTCTTATACGTGATACAGCACAAAGCTTAGCGAAAGCTTCAACAATTGCCACACGCTATTCAGCCGTGCGTCGTCAAAGTCCAATAGATCCAAAGTAAATAGATTTTATTTGGCTTTAAGATTTATTTTTTAAACTTGAATTTATTCACAGTCTGCCTGAACCCCAAATAATGGATCATACCACACAACAATTAAAACTATTCCCACAGATAGCTAAAGCAATTGTTATTAAAACTACAGGCGACAATGTTTGGAATATGTATAGCAATGTGAGTGGTGAATTGGAACAGGGCATTCTTGAGCGATTGCCTGAAATGCATGCACTATCATGTTGCTTAAAGGCAATCTGCAGTGCTGATGCAGCTAGTGGTGTTGAGCTCTGTCGCTTGGCTTGTGGTGGACATGGGTATATGGATTGCTCCAACTTTCCTACCATTTATGGCATGGCTACAGCTGTGTGCACGTATGAAGGAGAAAATACTGTGATGTTATTGCAAACGGCACGCTATTTGGTTAAAGTCTACGCACAAGCTTTGAATGGCGAAAAATTGGTACCAACGGTTGCATATATTAGTGAAGCAGTAAAAGAAACAGAATTTGTCAACTTTGATGGTTCGCTACAAAGTATTGTTAAAGCCTTCGAATTTGTTGCTGCAAAGTGTGTATGATTAGGAATTAATTTATTGATTTATTTAAAATATATAATTATTTTTCAGTAAAATACGTATTGCCTATG